TAAAAAGATAAAAAAATAGATAAAGATATCTCGATATGTATAAAGGAATTTGGTTGAATCTTCATTTCATCTCTGGGCACACTGGGAAGAAAATACAACATAATAAAGGGTGCCTATAAAAATTTCGGGATACCTGGTGCCAGGCAGGAGTGACCTCCCCATAAGTTATTGATCATGGAGGCCTGCTGAAAATAACCTACAGGTTTTGTCCAGCCATGGATGGGACGGCTTCACTTACTCCTTTAACACCATCCTCTGGCTCAGGGAATTATGTAAAAGAAGGGTAGAAAGAGTATTGGAGCCAGAGAATGGCGAGGGGAGCTTTGAAATGCTGTCACACAGATGGACTCACAGCAAACTGTGCATACCTAAACAAGATCTGCACAGAATCAAGACAATAAAAATTTCCAACATGGACTGGGAATGGGCTCCCAAGTCTTTCCTCCTAGCTTAGGAGCTCTTCGTAATTGATGGCTAAACAGGGAATGGAAAGTTACTTTTTTTTTTTTTTTTTTTTAGGAGTGTGGTCACTAGTAGGCTTTCTATGCTACAGTGGATGATCCTATGCCTTAGGTGAGAAAATAAAAGCTCATTGGACTTAAAAGTATACACATATATAAAAAAACAAATAAGGAGGATGTGATATTAGAAGGAAGATATCATGAGTGGGGGGGCAAGGGATGGAAATGATCACCATATATTGTATACGTTGTATCCATGTATGAAAATACCAAAGAACAAATAAAAATAATTTTATGAAGGCTGCAATAGGCCTATTTTCCAGTAGTCAGCAAAGCATCCATAGTAAAAAAGAAGGTACAGCTATTTTATTGTTGAAGTCTAAAATAAAATTTAATTCTAACTTTAAAAGATTTTTGTTTGTGTGTGTGTGTGTTTGCACGCATTTCTGTGTGCCTCATGCATGCAATGCTCTCAGTGGCCAGAACTGAGTACCATATGACCTGGAAATAGACATAAAAATAGTTGTCAGCCACCATGTAGGTGTAAGGAATCCAAACCTCATCCTCTGGAAGAGCAACCAGTATCCTTAATCTTTGAGCTATAACTTCATCTCCACAAAGTTCATTCTACCTAGACAACAAAAATTCAGAAATACAAATTTAAAATACCAAGTCTAGTAGCTCTCCACGTGACATACTCAGGGATATATCCGTAAAACAGTATGAAAGACCCCTATAAACTACAGAGTTGAGAGAACAGGAGGGGGACCTAACAGAATCACATGGAAGTGCACTCAGTCTGTTAAAACAGTGCCAATAAGATGCCAGTTTTCCCAGATTGTTTTATTAATACAACACAATCCTAACAATTCCAGTGTAAGTTTGTAGGAATTAGCAGACTCATTTCTGAGGAAATGCAAAAGACCATGAAAGACTGAAAGACTTTGAAAGAAAGCCAACTAGAGGCCTAACATGGTCTTATTTCATGGTTTAATTATGAAAGAACAGCAATCCAGACTATGTGGTGACAGGGCCAAACAAGGATATATACAAGTGCAACAAAATAAGCAGCTCAGAAACTAAACCATGTGCACATATGGTTCACTGTTTCTCAGCCCTGTGGGAACACAACTCAAGGAAGGAAGGGAAGAGTTTGTTGACTAGGTGTTTTATCTTAATCGAAACAGTCTCTCCAGTAGGGTAGAGAAAAGTCAATGCAGTTTAGAAGGCTGGGGAAAATTATGCCACTTACCAAACTCTGGAAACTCTGAAAGGTAAAAGACTCACGAGGACCCACCCTGAGTTACATAAGCAGAAAAAAGATGGGGAATAGAGACCTGCAGCTAACAAAGATGCCAGAGGTCATGCAGAGCCAGGGGCAGTATCTAGTAAAGTAAATGAACAAATTGTTTACATACCTATAAGTTATCAATGTGTATGTATAATGAGTGAAAGAATAAAAATTAAACTATATAGATTATGTTTTTATAAGACTATCAAAATGCAAACTAATTCATAGTAAAAATAATCAGTGTTGACAAGGAGGGACTTAGAACGGGCTTGAGAATATTTTTAGAGCGATGTACATATTCTTCACTTGAACGCCACAGTAGTCTCACTGTCTATATTTGTTAGTACCTATCAAACTGTACCTTTTCAATGTGTATAGTTTATTGTATTGGGAACAAACAGAAGAAATTTGTTCTAAATATTGCCATTTTACTTTTAGACTCTATTTAATCATAGGGGAAAACTAAGTTCAAGGTCTCAGGCCCTAGGGGAGCTGAAGACTTCACAATAGCTGAGCAGGTTCTGTTGTAAGAAAAGAGTTGTCTGAGTCTAAACATCTTAGGGACAACTTGGAAGGAGACAGTTGTCTGAGTCCAGCCATTTCAAAGACAACTTCTCCATCTTGCTGGCAGGTTCAAACTAAGTTCCTGTTCCCAGGCCCAGATAGAAAATGTAACAATAACTTGTCATAGACATTTGTGATTTGCAAGATTAAATATTCCATGATATTCTGGCTTGGGGTTACAGCTCAGCTCCTGAGTCTATTTTTCAGCCCTGACCGAATAGTGGAAGCTTGATTACAATAAATTTTTTTCATCTGCATTCACCTGGTCTTTGAGTTATGCTGGATCTACACAGACCTCATAACCACTGTGCAATTGCACTTTAAATATCAGAGCAAAGGCTACATTTTTACTAATGTTTGAAACATAATGATATGTAGCTAGTAAAACATTCATCAGAAACTATCTCAGTTGCAGAGGAAGTTTAATCCAGCAACATGGCTGCTCTGATTACATCCATAGATCTTCTAGGTCTGTGTAATCCCACTGGAATACTTACATGCCCTTAATATATACCATTAACCCCAAACAATGTCTAATTGAGGGACAAAGTGACAAATCACAGGAAGATTTGAAAGCATAGAATATGCCCAACTCTCATGGAAAACAGCAAAGGAAAGAGAAGCTATTTAAGAGGAGCACAGGGAGAGAGTTCAGTCAGTCAGTCAGTCGTCAGTCAGTCAGTTGAGTCTAGGTAAGTCAGGTGGCAGTCAATGGTGAGTCAGTTGAGAGACAGTAGTGTCAGTTCAGTTACTGACAGTTCAGATAAGCCAGTCAGCTCAGTTGGGTGGAGTTGAGTTTGGGGCATTTCAGTTGAGTGAGTGCAGTGCAGGAAAGTTGAGTTTGTTTGTGAGTTAGTGCAGAGACAGTTGAAGGCAGAGAATGAGAAGGAGCCAGAAGATTAGAACATATTGCTAATGCTTAATTTGAGGCCAAGTAGAGCAATCCAGTCAAAAGCTGAGAGAGGCCCATTTGAATCAGACAGCTGAGAGAGAAATTTGAGTCATAACAGCTGAGTTGAACCAGCCAGGCAGAATTCAAAAACAGCTAGAAATGGTGAGCTTATTCAGCAGTAAGTCTCAGAGGATGAAAACATTTTAGGCCTAGGTTACATTGTACAGAGGCCAGAAGTTTTCAGGACTAGGCCTAAGTTAGAAGAAGGCAGTAAACCTCCTACAGGACAAGTACATCTGGCAAATAAAAGTTACATTTACACTCAATGATGGTGCTCAATGGTAATCCTGAGACCTCAACACAGGTGGCTGACCGTTTCATATTTATGAAAACTATTATGCTTCTCTGCCAACATATAACGAACATGGAATAATATCATTGTATATTTAGATTTAGTACTATTTTTATTTTTAGCTCTCTTTTTTTTCGTTGTTATTTATTTTATTTTCTTTTTTTTGTAATTTTTATTTTTCTTTTTAGTTACAATTTGTTAACTCTGTGTTATTCTTAGCTCTCTTAAATCCTCTGGACACTCTCCAATTCTATGGAATAAAAATTAGGTGTTCCATACGAAGGTACATTGATAATATATTTAATCAAAATAATATTGTCATGATTTTATTTATGCTAAGGTGAACCTAGCATTTACAAACAACCTTTTAGGATCAGGAGTGGGGAAAGTGATTAGATATATTATCAGGTTGAAATGTTTTAATATATTATTTTCTAGATTATATTTAAAACATTACCATCATTAAGTAAGATAAACATATAGCAAACTAAACTTAGCCTAAACCTATCTTATATAAAGTTAATATAATAATAAATATATAATGGGCCTATAATTGATATTATTCTTTAAAATAGCAAAAACACTCTTCTTAATCAAGTACAATGACATTTTATATTAACAAAAAAATTTTTATACACTATTGCCTACATCACTAATTAGTAATTATTTAGAGTATCATTATGATTACAAAACCAAGCATTTACATTAGCATAATCAGCATACCAAGGACTTCTGATAAGTTATTTTTAATTCTTAATTATCACAAATGAAGATGTTTCATGGACAAAATAACTTTAGTAATTTTTTAAAATATGAGACAATTGAACCAATGAAAACTATATAGAAATTCCAATAAATATAATTCAATTAGCACTAAAAATGAGGTGAGTCTTACCCATATTTTTACTAAAATGTATATCCTCATGTAAAAATTAAATCAAGGTATAGAGATGTAAAGATAAATCCTAATCACTGTAAAACTGAAAAAGCTCAAATCTCACATATTCAATTTTTTAAACTCATTCAGAACCTCTTAATTTTTATTTACTTTGTCATGTCCTTTAAAAATTACTTATAAGGTTCATGTGTTCTGGCATTACCTAGACCCATTTTCATCAGACCATCAAGTATGTAAGGGCCACTAGCATAAGGAATTTGTCACTAGTTAGGTCAACATTCCTAATCCTAAAAATCTGACATTTACATAACACCATTTGTACAGCAATTTCAAATGGAGTTCCCAAACATTTATTCATTAATACTTTTAATATTTCCATGCAATATTTGGCAAACATTCATTTCCATCTCCAGGAAGGGAGTTCCTTCCCTACTCACAATCCATTTTCATTTGCTAGAAAAATAAAAGCCCTCTAGCATGAGCTAGTTGGTCTATCCGAATAGTGAAATGTCTCATTGGCATGTGACCCTTGTCTCTCCCACCTTTTTATATGCGATCCAGTCAAACACTCTGTCAATATCTGTTGCCCGGAGCACTTCCTGTGACACTGGATGAGAACTGGCCAACCCGTCAAGTAGCATCACTTCATGCAGAACATCTGTCAGAAATCTCTGCTTTTCCTGTAATACAGGAGATAGGGTAATATTACAGGTGATTCATGGTTATGGCAGAACCTGCCAGACAACATCAACAGCATGTATGTCACTTAACTGATGGTGCTCATCAGTCTTACATGGTGAGACTCAGATCTGAAGGAAACTCAGTAAATAAAATTAACCCCCTAGGATAGTATAAAACAAAGATAGCTGACTCAAACGTAACATGAAACAAAATCAATAGACTACTGTAAGCCCTAAGTAATAAGAACAGCAGACTGTTTTCTTGGTGCAGAGCAAGGCTGAAGAGTGGACAAATGTGGCAATGATAAGATGAAGGCTTGTTCATGTCTTCTATAGAGTATAGAAAATTCCAGTCTCAAATAACACTTTATGATAAGGTCATTAGTCTCATTACAACAAGTTAATCTTGCTCTCCGTGTTCCTCCATCCCACCATAGGTATTCTTCCCTGCTGCCCCCCAAAAAGGGAGACCACAACACAGACTAAAAGGCATTGTTTTCCTCAAACTATAGTGCAGATGGATATACACACAAATTTAGGTTAAAGGCCATAGTGCTGAGATCACCCAGGCTTAATTACCACGAAGCAATGAAAACAAGAATCGTGAACCTTCTACTCACTTCATTTCTCTAATAAAAGCAGACTTGTTAAATTAAAAATGAACTGTAAAGAAAGGTAGGGTTTTTTTCCTCTGTTTTTGGTTTAAGAAAGTCTGCTTTCAAAAATTAGCTTAGATTCTGTTAACAAAAGTACGGTCAGCTATTAGTCCTCTGGCCACTTGCCTTCACTGATGGATTAAGGGACAAGAAGATAAGTCACAAAAGATAACAAGCCTAAAAAACCCCCTAGATAGCTAAAGAGTGAGGAGTATCATTACTGAGATTAAAGACTCCAACACTTAAATTGCTCTACCTAATTCTGAACTCAGTCCTAGAAATATTTGGCTATAGCGAATGAAATGGTCCTGAGAAATCAGATAAACACTATTATTTTGGATTGAGTTGTAATTTCAAGCTGAGAGTACATCGATCCGGGACTTAAAGAAATAGAACCAAAGAAAAAATATGATACAGGAAGAAAAGTTAACTGAGCATGTACATGGATGTTGCTTCAACTATTATTTCTTCAATTATTGTCTATTCAGTTGTTTAGCAACAGTAAATGTGGGCTGATCAACTTTAAAATGGAATGAATAGTCCTAGACTTTCCAGAGCTGTAAGGGTTAAAAGTGACATAAAGTAAGCAGGTTTTAAAAGTGAACTCTAAACGCAATTTCAACAGAGAAATAGTAACGTTAAAGGAAGTATCAATTACATGTGATACATTACTTCATATTTCTGGGGGAAGCAAAAATAAATCTTTGTCTACTTAATATAATTTTAATTGCTATTACTTCACTTTAGTATGGGTAAGTCATTGATTTATTTTCTACCTTATTGAAAAGTTGATATTAAATAATGGAAGAAAAGACTTGTGTGGAAAAATAGATTAGGGCCTGTGTCCCTGGTAGTGGAGCACATACCAAGCTCAGAACAAAGAATACATTAAATTGACAAGTTAAAAAGAAAAAGAAAAAAAAAAAAGAAAGAAAGAAAATTTTAGAGGCAAACTCAATTTTACAGAAGTACAAAGCACCCACTAGAGAAAATACACTGATTTCTTTTAAATAAATACCTTCAACACAACATAGTAAGAAGTTATCTAGATGAAGCCTACATCATTCTCAACAGGAACAGCCCCCACAGTAATAAGAGTCAGCCTTACCTAGAATTAGTTAATTTCCTATCATTTATCTGGAGCTATGAATGTTAAAAACTTAAAAGAAAAAAAGTCATTTTTGTAATATAAGAGATAAAATAAAATAGTTGGCTATCGTCAATGAAATGGTTTTATTTTATGGATTAAAGTTGCCAAAGTGATTTTTTTAAAAAGCTGTACAATAATAAAATTATCTATGGGGACTTTCTTTAAAAAGAAAAAAAAACTCATCATTGGACTTGGGGAGAGGCATAGGAGAAGAAGAGGGAGGCAAGGTGGGATTAGGCGGGGATGGGTGAGGGGGCTACAGCTGGAATACAAAGTAAATACACTGTAATTAATAAAAATAAAATAAATTAAATTAAAAAAACAGAAAAAAGAAAAAAACTCATCTGACCTAAAAAAAAAAAAATTTGTATGTGTGTGTATGTGTGCATTGTGGGTCTCGGTGTCTGTACACTTTACTCGTAGAGAATATTTCTAATTTTTATTTTACTCCAAATTTAAGGCTGGTAGGATCTGTGATCAACCACTTTGTAAAAATTACACATTAAAGAGCGTGGGCACATTAAAATCCTTTAAAAATATTCAATGTTTTCAGTCTCCAAGTGGGTACCCTAGTAAGGGAAACAGGGACTGTCTCTGACATGAACTCAGTAGTTGGCCCTTTGATCACCTCCCCCTGAGGTGGGGGCAGCCTTACTAGACCACAGAGGAAGACAATGCACCCAGTCCTGATGAGACCTGATAGGCTAGGTTTGGGAGGGAAAGAGGGAGGAGGCTACAGCTGGGATACAAAGTAAAAAAATTGTAATAAATACAAAAAATTTAAAAATTCAATGCTAGCATTAACCACAAATTCCACAAGCCTTGGTGTAGACATTATTCAGATTTTTACATGTGTATTTATTTAAATAGTTACAGTCATATAAAAAGTCATTTTGTTCTCCAAAATCATATCTAGGTTACATATACATTATATATACATATATATGTTATTGGAACTTTACAAAAACTAAAAACAGAGTAATTGAAGAATTGTTTATGAAAACCAAAAAGCCACTATTTTACTTGCCAATTTATTGTCTTAGTAAATATCTATTGAATTCTCATTCTGCAAACACCTACTATCTAATCTTGAACTCAAGAACAAAAATTAAGTACAATAGGAGGACAGATACACAGAAAAACTATCATAATACAATGGGTGCTATAAAACACAGAGAGTGAAATGATTAATTAGTTCAGGAAGGTTTAAGAGAGGAGGCAGCATACAAGTAAGTAGGTGATAGATGAGAGGGGAGGCAGCTAGAAAGGGGCAAATCCAGAGCAGAATAAACATGCAGCAAAAAACCTACACCAATCAAATCCTCAATTATGAGGCTAAAGAGTTTGGTCTTAATAAATGGACACTAACAGGCATCATGACATAATAAATGTGACACTGTATCTGTGGTATACCAGATAGCTAATAGAGCTAAAATACAGGGAGTGACCACTATCCTAAGAGAGGGAGGGGGTACGAATGATGTATTAGAACAATTTATTGCTGAAGGAGAGTTGGACATGAGAGATATTTTAAGCATTTTTCATGCTTTGAAATAACTATATAGCTTTTAACATTAATAGGACTTAACGGAAAAAAATTTGAACTATACTGACAGAAATGTTAGAAAAATACACTTTGGACACCATACTTAAAAAAAAGAATGGTCTTACATGTGGTAGAAAAAAGTGACTATGAATGTGCACAAAGAGCCTTGCTGCAAAGAACAGCAAGTGAAGACCTGGGACTAAGAGAAAGGACTATTTCTCTTGTTTTTTGACAATACAAAGTAGTTTTAAAATAATATGAATAAAGCGTAAGAATTCACTTCTAAAAATCAATTTTTATAACACCAGTAGCATATAGGCTGGTTTTTAGCTGTGTATGTGAAGGAAGTTAGGAATTATTTTTTTTTCGTTAAGTTTTATTTTGATAGAAGTTTTAGGGTACATAACATTGAGTATATATATATGCCCTGTTCCTGTACATTTATTATTTCTTCCATTACCAATATGCAATACTAGTCAAGTGCTTTGACTCTCACAAAAAAAAAGAAAGAAAAAAAGGAAGGAAGGAAGGAAGGAAGGAAGGAAGGAAGGAAGGAAGGAAGGAAGGAAGGAAGGAAAGAGGGAAAAGCAGAGAATATTGCATTAAACCAAAGACAAGGAAGATTAGGGACAAGGCTAAAACAACTCAAGTAGTGGTGAGACAGTCACAGATATATTGGAAGTAAAAAAAGAAAACAAAAGAAAACCTTCAAGGCACACAAGTGTTGCATCCAATCAGTCACAGGCCTTGATTATCTCCTAAAAATATGGATCTGAACATAAATGATTCTTAATACTCTCTTGACAAAGAGTCCTAACACTGGGAGTTAGGATTCTGCCTTTCTCTGGCCATACACCTTTGAGACCAAACAAACTTTAGAGATCTCAGCATCCTCATTTTTTCACATGTGCTGTTGTGAAGATTAAATAAGTGAAATAGGTCTACATATCTTTCTTAAGTACTGCCTGGATCCCAGATGGCGTGCTTGCTTCTAAGGATAGACAGAGCAATGGATCCTACATTCTGAGAATTCACAGTAGTAGAAAGAGAGGCAGAGATGAAAGCAGATATTAAAACACAGCCTGTTCTATGTGAGAATGTAAGTGGGCTCAGGACACAGAATGACTGCAGTGAGAACACTATGATTTCTTATACCTGAGGGAGGCAGGGAAGCTTCTAAGCAAGAGTTTAAATTGAATTTTGAAGAATTTTTTAAGTATTCCAGGAATAAATGACAGTAAAGGACATTTAGAGCAAAGGGGAATTTGTGAAAAATCAAGGAGTACTTTCAGTATAGTCTCTTGGAGCGTCCGACACAGAGAGAGGTGTGCATGGCACAGGGAAGGGAGTAAATCACAAGTGATGAGAGAGAAGCACAGAAGATAAGCAGCACCAAAGAATCCTGGATGGTGTAGTGACAGGGTATTGTGGGACTTGCACTTTAAGAACTCTGAAGAGCTTTATCTTACATCCATCAGAATGGCCAATATCCAAAACTCAAGTGACAACACATGCTGGAGAGGATGTGGAGAAAAGGGAACCCTCCTCCTTTGCTGGTGGGAATGTAAACTTATACAACCACTTTGGAAATCAATCTGGCACTTTCTTAGACAATTAGGAATAGTGCTGCCTCATATATCACTCCTAG